ATTAAGTACTCCATTAAAGATGTACGCCTATCACGCTGTGCCTTGGTCCACTTCCTCCAACGATCGTGACAGAAGATCCCACCGATACAGGACCAAGCAGCGTGCCTAGGAGCAGACAGCCTGGACGTGGGAGCAGATATTGGACGGGCAGGGGTCCTGGACTTGGGAGGAAATCCAGGCCGGGAAGGATCGGCGTCCGTGGGAGGAGACGGTGGAGGCGCGCCGGAGAGAGGAGCAGCGGCGCCAATCGGGCCGTCGTCGGACAGGCGAGAGGCACCCCCAAAAATGTTTTAGGGGGGGGGCAGATGGCATGGACGACGGGGCTGCTGGAGGCAGATAAGGGGCGAGTTTGTGGACGAGGAGAGAAGGCCACCGGGTTACGGGAGCCATTGGTGAGAAGAGGGAAGGAAAGTGTAGAGGCACAGCGAGAGGTACTGAGGTGTGTTGCCAGTCCGGTCCGGCCCGTTCCTGATCCCCGTGTAAGGCCAGTGGTGTGTGTTCCCAGTGCGGTCCGGCCTGTTCCTATCCCTCGCACCAAGCCTGTGATGCGCGTCGCCAGCCCGGCCTGGCCTGTTCCTGCCCCTCGCACCAAGACAATGGTGCGCGTCGCCAGCCCGGCCCGACCTGTTCCTGTCCTTCGCACCAAGCCTACGGTGCGTGTCGCCAGCCCGGCCCGGCCTGTTCCTGCCCCTCGCACCAAGCCTACGGTGCGCGTCGCCAGCCCGGCCCGACCTGTTCCTGCCCCTCGCACCAAGCCTACGGTGCGCGTCGCTGGCCCGGCCTGTTCCTGCCCCTCGCACCAAGCCTACGGTGCGCGTCGCCAGCCCGGCCTGTTCCTGCCCCTCGCACCAAGCCTACGGTGCGCGTCGCCAGCCCGGCCCGGCCCGTTCCTGCTCCCCGCACCAAGCCAATGGTGCGCGTCGCCAGCCCGGCCCGGCCCGTTCCTGCTTCCCGCACCAAGCCAATGGTGCGCGTCGCCAGCCCGGCCCGGCCTGTTCCTGCTCTCCGCACCAAGCCAATGGTGCGCGTCGCCAGCCTGGCCCGGCCTGTTCCTGCTCCCCGCACCAAGCCAATGGTGCGCGTCACCAGCCCGGCCCGGCCTGTTCCTGCTCCCCGCACCTAGCCTGTGGTGCGCGTCGTCAGTCCGGCACAGCCCGTGCCTGGGTCAGCTGCTCCACATCGGAGCCTAAGCAATCCGCTCCACCGATGTCCAGTCCAGCTCCAGCCAGCGGGGCCAGACCGGACCAGGGGCGCTACGGGGGGATTGTTGGAGGGTGGTGGTCAAGCCCAGAGCCGGAACCGCCTCCGAGGAGGAATGCCCACCCGGCCCTCCCTTGTTCGGTTTATGTTTAGGCGCGGTCGCAGTCCGCGCCTTTGGGGTGGGGTACTGTCACGCCCTGGCTCTGGGACTGTTATGTTGAGCCAGGGTGTGTAGTTTCTATGTGTTTGTGTTCTAGGTTCGTTATCTAGCTCATGTGTTTCTGTGTTGGCCGGGGTGGTTCTCAATCAGAGGCAACGAGTATCAGCTGTTGCTTGTTGTCTCTGATTGGGAACCATACTTAGGCAGCCTGTTTTCCACAGTGTATTGTGGGATCTTGTTCTGTGTAGGTTTGTGTTATTGACCGTGGACTTCACGTATCGTTTTGTTGTTTTGTTGCATTGTATTAAGTACTCCATTAAAGATGTACGCCTATCACGCTGCGCCTTGGTCCACTTCCTCCAACGATCGTGACATCCTTTTGTAGTCCGTGATTGTCTGTAGACCCTGCCACATACGTCTCGTGTCTGAGCCGTTGAATTGCGACACCACTTTGTTTCTATACTGACGTTTTGCTTGTTTGATTGCCTTGTGGAGTGAATAACTACACTGTTTGCCATATTCCTAGTCAACTGCCATGGTTAAGTGCAGTGGTTTGCGCTTTCAGTTTCACGCGAACGCTGCCATCTATCCACGGTTTCTGGTTAGGGTAGGTTTTAATAGTCACAGTGGGAATGTGCCAAGCGAGAGTCTTTTGTACTTCAGCAAATCAGAAAGTACAGCTGTGGAGAAGCAGGACCCCAGAAAGATGCCAGCACGATGAATCCAGCAAGCATCTCGACCACGGTACTTAAGAAATATAGCTTCCTCGCATCGAAGATTGTGTCTGAGGTCACTGTCCAGCCGGAGGGTCAACCTGGCAGGGCATTCATTGCCCCGTGTGAGCTGCGGAAATACCTGGAAGAGGTAAAGGGGGGCATGTTTACAGAGTCACCTCTCCAGTTCTGACAGGCAAGGATGACTGTTTCTTCCCCTGAATCCCAAGAGTTCATGGAAAGAATATTCTCTGTCTGTGGACAACTGTCATCAGGCTTGAGAAACCGAACGACCACCTCTCTGGAATGCAGCCTTCTTGAAGATAAACCAGAAAATCTTGTTTAGTTAAACAGAAACACACACACACAAACTAGCTGGCTGTGAACTAATAGATTTGTGAAGACTGTTTTTGCTGTTGTTGCAGCAGTTTTTATTAACCCTATTTGAAGGGGTTAGTCAGTGTTACATGTTTAATATTACATAAACATAGCATGTCAAATGTGCCATAATTTCATTTGTTGTTTTTTCCTCTCTATTTCAGTCAGATAAAGGTAATGGTACTGGATTCTTCTTACATGTACTACTAAAGTAAAAAAAAGAAAGCATTGGATTGGTGTAAACATGGGCAAGAGAGTTTTCTTCCACCATATTTCTTGCACCAGTCTAGGCGCTTATCCTTTAAATCCAAGTCACATTAGGATTGATTTATAATTAAACCTAACCATGTCCTGGCCATGGAGTTGTATGGAGTCCTCTAGTGGACAAAAGCCTGTGTTAGCATGGGCAGCGCTATTGAGGACCATTTTGATTAAGTCAACTGGGCGGGACTTCCAGCTTCATTGGCTGATCCCTCCTGATGATCTGGTTGGCATGACCTGATGACCCGGTTGGAGACGTGACAGCCGATCATCAGGAGGGATCAGCCAATGAATTTTACTTCTGAAAAATAACATTTACTATTTAAAGATGGAGATGGCCTTAATGGCGCTGCCCATCCTCTCACAGACACCATCATGACACAGATACAGAGATGTTATTTATAGCCAAGTCTATGGTCCTGGCCCATCACCTTATGTTTTACTGCCAACCAGTGGAAAGTGACATCCCCCCCAAAACAACTATAGGCTTACAACACATAAATATCTCCTAGCCTCCCACGCATAGGCTACTTTCTGTCCCAAACACTAAAACTTAAACTAAATAATATACAAACTAAATAGAAATGTTTTTATCAAACTGAAACTAAATAAAAAATAAGTCTGAAAACCAACTGGTGTGCACATGTGTTTGTGTGTGCGTGTGGTGTACGTGTGTTTACGATGGACTTTTTTTTCTCAATAAAGTTATGAGGTCATGTGATAGTTCCTTATCTGATATCAGCACTCACCATCCCTCATGGCGAGATAGAGATTGTGAAAGGGAAAAGGCATCTAATTACGACTGCAACATGTCTTGCAGATATTACTGACCCTTCTTCGTACCAATTGTATTTATCAGGTGTCATGCTTCCCATAGTTCTGCTATGTTTAATGTCCCAGAACCACTGGTCAAAATAGATGCAAATCCAGATCAATTGATTTACTGTATGTCTCAATGTTCATCATTTAAATATTTATATAATTTAACATTTAAATACCAGGTGATTGAAGAATGAAATAATGTAGATTTCAGATTACTTTTAATAATAATAATAAGTCTACCACATTTCCTATCCACCACTTATCCAATGCATTAGTGATATACTGTAAATTATGTTGCAAGTGGTAGCATACCTGTAGTATGCCTTTGCTCTGAACTATGAGTAACTCACGCCACCTTGTGGAGATAATGCATTTTCTTTTTTTAAACACTATACTGAACAAAAATATAAACACAACATGCAACAATTTCAACGATTTTACTGAGTTACAGTTCATATAAGGAAATCAGTCAAGGCCCTAATCTATGGATTTCACATGACTGGGCAGGGCGCAGCCATGGGTGGGCCTGGGAGGGCATAGGCCTACTCACTTGAGAGCCAGGCCCACCGACTGGGGAGCCAGGCCCAGCCAATCAGAATGAGTTTTTACCCACCAAAGGGCTTTATTACAGACAGAAATAGTCCTCAGTTTCATCAGCTGTCCTGGTGGCTGGTCTCAGATGTTCCCGCAGGTGAAGAAGCTGGATGTGGAGGTCCTGGGCTGGCGTGGTTACACGAGGTCTGCTGTTGTGAGGCCGGTTGGACTTACTGCCAAATTCTCTCAAATGACGTTGGAGGCAGCTTATAGTAGAGAAAGGAACATTAAATTCTCTGGCAACAAATCTGGTGGACATTCCTTCAGTCAGCATGCCAATTGCAGGCTCCCTAAAAAAACTTCAGACATCTGTGGCATTGTGTTGTGTGACAAAACTGCACATTTTAGAGTGGCCTTTTATTGTCCCCAGCACAAGGTGCACCTGTGTAATGATCATGCTGTTTAATCAGCTTCTTGATATGGCACACCTGTCAGGTGGATGGATTATCTTGGTAAAGGAGAAATGCTCACTAACAGGGATGTAAACAAATTTGTGCACACAATTTGAGAGAAATAAGCTTTTTGTGCGTATGGAATATTTCTGGGATCTTTAATTTCAGCTCATGAAACATGGGACCAAAACTTTACATGTTACATTTATATTTTTGTTCAGTATAAAATAAATATTGTATGTATTTCACAACTACGGTTTTCTGGGTAATTGTCCGTCTTTTGTCTCCTACTGGTCTTGCCGTAAAGAGTGTATTGTCCAAATGCTTGCTGAATAGTGAGTGTGCAGGGCGTTATTGGTAAAATGGGATGACGTTGGTACTAAGGTGCAGCCCATGCAGATTAAACATTAACATAGGTAAAGATTAACTATGAACTCTAAATACTGTCCTCCCTCGCACATACATTATGCATAATCATAAGGACAGTGTCAGTGTGGGATAAGTTCATTCACTGGGCAGACAGCGACTATGGCGGCTAGGATAGGAGGCAGTGTTCTGGTGACAGGGTCTAACCGCGGAATCGGTCTAGAGGTAGTTCGTCAGCTGGCAGAGTCCACCAGTCCTCCAGCCCAGATCTTTGCCGGGTGTCGAGATCTGTATGGAGCTCAGGTAGTTCACAGCCTCTAAGGCCAGTTTACAGAGAGTAGCAGAGCAACAGAGAGCTACAAAGCCTAATGCATGGCACATAGAGTATGTAGAGGTTGGCAACAATAGAAAACTGAACATGGTTTCTGTTTTATGTAGCAAGATATTTGAGTTAAATATGATTAATACGTAGATTCTCTCATTATTAAGTACTGTACATTTGTTATAATTCTCAGTTATATGTTGTGTATTTGTATTAGAAAGATTCATTAGCACGTGACTTTGTATATCCACTTAATTCTCTCTGGAAATTGCCGGAGTGAATCAGGATCCTAGAATTTAACCTGCCCTGACCCAACACATTTGCTCCTGCTTCAAGGCACTGAAGGAGCTGGCACAGCGGCATCCCCAACTGGTCACTATTGTGAGATTGGGTAAGGGTTTCTGCTACAATGTAGTTTGCATATTGTGACAAATACACAGAGATAACACAAGAGATAACTTTCTGCAAAAAATGTATTTCTTACAGGGTGACAACAAGAGCTGAGTGAGATATAGTTCCTTCCTAAACCTCTAAATTTCAAAAATGTTGTGTTGACAGATGTTGCAGACCCATTCAGTATATCCGAGGCCTCCAGGGTGGTTGGTGATAAACTGATTGACGGCAGCCTGAATTTAATCATTAACAACGCTGCCATTAATGTCCCTGTCGTGAACGACGGGAATAACCACCCTGGCACACTGGCAGTGACGGGCAAGAAGGAGATGGTGGATTTGTTTGTCACCAACGCAGTGGGACCCATGCTCATTGCTAAGGTCGATACATGCGCTATTACATGAAGTACTTCAGAAGACTAGGCTTTTGTCTTACTGTTTCATTGTTTACATTCTCCCTTCTCAGGAATTTTGTTATGGTGTACTTTGAGTTATCTGCTCTCTATAAATCTCTCAATAAATACATGCTACAAAAAAAGAGGATAAATTCCTAAAGGGCAAAGGTGTATGAAAAAGTTACCAGATCTTTGATGTATTGACACTAAGATTAAGAAAATGACTTCTTTATGTGTCCTTTCTTGCAGGAGTTCAGGTCATACCTGCAGAAGGCAGCTGACCAATCAGGTCCTGCGACAACAGGGATGTCCTGTAGCAGGGCAGCCATCATCAACATCTCCACTCTGCTGTCCTCAGTTGAGAAGTGTCCTGAGACATTCTCCATGGCCCCTATGTATCCTTACAGAGCCAGCAAGGTATGCCACCATCAGTAGGCCTACGTCTAATATGATTCTTAATACTCTTCTGGCTGATAGTGGAACAGTTTCTATTGATTCCATGCTGAATAACGAAGATGTGGATAACATGAGTTCTGTTGTCCTATTCTCCACTAGGCAGCGCTGAACATGCTGACACGCTGCCTGGCAGAGGACTTCAAGAGGGATGGGATTCTGGTCATGGCCATCCACCCTGGCTGGGTGAAAACTGACATGGGAGGCCCACATGTGAGTAACAGGATACGTGATTTTTGCATGTATCTGTAAATTAAAAAGATTAAGCTTAAAAGTCCACAATGCCATTTTGCATAATGCACTGCACATTACTCTGAAGTAGCAAAACTCATATGATAATTATATATTTGTTTATAAGCGTAGAACAAGGTAGGACTAGAGTCATAGCAGACTGGCACAGATCTATAACTGTTTGTCTGTGTTTCTGTTCGACAGGCACCGGTGAAGACTGAGGACAGTGCCAAAGGCATGCTGCATGTGATGTCAACCCTCACAGAGAAGCACAATGGCAGCCTTCTGGACTGGGAAGGGAATGGTATCCCATGGTGATGTTCCAGGCCAATGGTCCAGTCTCTGGGACCAATAGACTTAGACTTCTGAGTTCTTTGAATAAATCTCTTAGTATGACTGAATAATGTTTTGTCTTCTTAAAGGGGAGTCTGTAGTCTGTAATCTCATTTTTCATTCTGATTCAATTGCTGGGCATTTCTTAACTCAATAAACTGACAGCTAGACTCTCATTGATCATTTGTCATCCTATAAAAACAGCTTATCATTATTCGGGACACTAAACAAAATGTGCCAACAGCATTTATCGTATAATTTGTTCATACAATAACTTGCCACTTTACTTTGTCAGACTTATCAAAAGACTGCTCTAGTTATGACTATATAAGAAAGGTTAAACTAATGGGCAAAATGATGAGCCATCCTAAAGTTGAGCATAATGGAAATAGATGTGAGTGTTTTCCTGCAGCTGTCCATGTGATGGGCATCATTCTTTCACAGCAGATCAGTGGCAGAATGAAATGAAAAACAGAGGAAAATATGGAAGGATCCACTGGTCAATTCAACGTCTATTCCACGTTGATTCAACGTAATTTCATTGAAATGACGTGGAAACAACATTGATTCAACCAGTGTGTGCCCAGTGGGGAGGGGTGAAAGACAGATGATGGAAACATAAAGAGGTGATGCAGATGGACTCAGATGGATTTTTTTATTTGTTATTGTGATTTATCGGGGGTACTGCAGCATCCTCAGCACCCCTACTTCCCGTGGCTGTGGGCCGGCCATGAGCTCCAAGGGCCAGACAGATGTGCATGCTGGGGGTCATGATAGGGGAGAAAGCACTACCGTGAGTGTTAGAGCTAACAGGAAGTGTGGACTGGAGAAACTGCTTGACTAAAGAGCAAAGGCAGATCAAATCCAAGGGCTGATGACTTACAGTATAAGCAGTAAGGTTTTACAGGCATTTGCAATCCTGCACTCAATATCCAACATCCTACTAAGAAACAACAACATGAAATCAGATTTTCCCACATCACTGCTGTGCTAATTCAGTAGTTATAAACCAGTTGCCATAACCTAGTTATTTCAGATTATTACACGTGTCTGTTCAATGAGGTCCAACCAGGTCAGATAGGTTATGCGTTAGGTTACCCTTCCCTGGTGACACAGAGTCAAATTAATACTTAGTGAAAAATACATTCTGAATGTTCCACTCAGCGGGACATGTGTTGCTTGCCTATATGGAAATGTTGTTCCTCTGAATCTTGTTGGCACAAGTTAGGCATAGCATAACCCTTTTTTTATGTGTGTGGTGCAGTCACACAATGGACATAATGCAAAAACAGGGTTTAGTATTGTGTCAACAAATTGGATAGCATTACACAAAGTCTTACCTGTGCACCGTATCTGGACACTTATCAAAGACAAAAAACAGTTGCATTTTATCTGGGCAGGTCACTCCTGAACTGTCCGTAAAACAAGCGCGACAGGGGTAGACAGTGTAATTTACGCGCCTCAGCAAAGAGGTGGGAACACTAGAGCCAACATTGACATTCGAGGAGAGTGCTGCTGTACTACTTGCATGGGAGTTTGAACTTGAAAGACTCAACTTGCCTCTGTGTTTCATGCTCGTCGTTGTTGTCTTTCTGCTTACATTTGGAACTATAATAAAGGTAAGAAAGTCATGCTTTTTCCACTGGCGTTTGATATTTCTTTGACGCGCTCCTAAAATTAAGCGCACGATGTCAATGTTAACATCATGTGTCGAGTGCCATACAGTACATTACCAGTTGTGTTAGTAGACAGCTGGGGATTCATACCGAGGTAAAATTTGTTTTATATTGGATATTTTATATTGTTTTAGTTTTATATTTAATAAAAAAAAAGGTGTGGATTTTCTCCCATGATTTAGAATATACTGTATACTTTTGATAGTCATCGCACGCTTTGTTTAAGAGCTATTGAAGATTGAAATTCTGAAATGTTAACATTTGATTTATATTGGGTATTTTATATTGTTTTAGTTTTATATTGGATAAAAAAGTGTGGATTTTTCTCCCCTGATTCAGAATATATACTTTTCATAGTGATGGCATACTTGGTTCAATAGCTATTGACGAGAGAAAACAGAATATCCAATATAAAACAAATGTTACCTTGGTGGGATTCATGGACAGTGGTGCTCTAGTCTAGCTGCAAGGACTGACAGTCTATACATTGTTTGTTTGTTGTTTGTAAACAATGAAGTAATAAAACCATATTTGGGGTTATGATAGGGATAAAATGCTCATGAGGCATTTATAAGTTGTATTCTTCACGAATTAATGGTTAAATATCAATAATTGAAAGGGATTCTTTGCTATTTAGACATGACATCCAACTACACTGCCTCAACACAGTAGCCTACAGTAGTAGGGTAACTTGGGGAAAAACGCCCCCCTTAAGGGAAATGTCTGATTTAGATACGACATACTGGCTATCCTTAGGCAAACATTTTGAACGGAAATAAGTGGGCAGAATTATTTTCTTTTTCGTTATTCAATTTGTAAGTCGCTCTGGATAAGAGCGTCTGCTAAATGATGTAAATGTAAATGTAAATGTTTTGCCCCCCTCTATGGGGCAAAATGCCCCTGAAGATTAGTGTGTTAAAATCAATTTTATACTTTTTATTTTTGCATTTCTTAGTAATTTACACTTAAAAGCTAGTCTAGGTAATTTATTTTAATTAAAGGTCCTGAACAGTCATTCTGAAAAGTACTTTTTCTCTCATGGCTAACTATCAGGAAGTTTGAAAAGACAGGCTGAGTGGGCAGGAAGCTTATATTCATTACATTTACATCATTTAGCAGATGCTCTTATCCAGAGCAACTTATAGTTAGTGAGTGCATACATAATTTTTTTATCTTATATACTGGCCCCCCGTGGGAATCGAACCCACAACCCTGGCGTTGCAAACACCATGCTCTACCAACTGAGCTACATCCCTGCCAGCCATTCCCTCCCCTACCCTGGGCCAATTGTGCACCGCCCCATGGGTCTCCCAGTCACGGCCAGCTACAACAGAGCCTGGATTCGAACCAGGATCTCTAGTGGCACAGCTAGCACTGCGATGCCTTAGACCACTGCGCCACTCACCTTGACAGACAGCTCTTTGAAACGCCTATGTCAAGCAACTTGGATGTAGTAAGCAGTGTTGCAGTAAAATCATCTCAAGCAAATTTGGTGATACACAAAGCAACTCAAACAACATTGAAATTGCATTTTTGCCCCAAACATACTAAATTAAAATTGTACTACTTTATTATTAACTGATTACAATTTTTCTCTCTAACCAAGTGGAATATTTATCTTTAGGCTCCCCTGCTGGTATATATATAAAACAAGTTTATAGATCTAATTTCATTAGGTTATATATATAACTTTTCTAAATGACAAAAAAAGTAGATCAGCATACATCAAAATCATTTTGTTGGAGTGACTTAAAAAGTTGAGATGAGACAGATTACATTTTTAGTTGAGCAAGACTAGTGGCATCCAGGGAAAGTGTTGAAAAATAATGTCTGTGAGAATTCAAGGAGGGGGGGGCGTTTAACCCCAAGCCACCCTACACTTTGTTATGGCCTTTTAACTGTGTTACTATGTGGCAACTGAAAAATGTGACTGTTTTTCTGTCCCACGGCCCTGTTGTTTAATCATTAGCTCATTGGTATTGGGTGGTTCTAAGCCAGAATGGGACATTCCCGTTGGAGTCGCCCAGTGGATGAAACTGGACTTACAGTGTCCACCTCACACCTCCCCCGACTTTCGGTGTTGCACTCTCGTTGCCCAGACAACCAATAGTTTTTGTGAGGGTTTCTCTATATTAGGAGGGCTTTCATGGAGGAGAAAGGGTGACAGCCTGTCTTCCAACCTCCCACATGGACAGACTAACATTCAGAAAGAAAGCTCTCACCCAGGGAATCTGTACTGTGTCCAAGGGAATCTGTGTTGTATCCATGAAAACTGTATCTGAAGTAAGTATTATGCACCATTACTTGTAGGTTCAGCCTCCCGCCTCTACCTTGTTCAAATATATATATATATATATATATATATATATATATATATATATATATATATATATATATATATACAGTATTTCCTGGATCATTCCGTGGTTCAGCTGTGGAATGTTTGTTTTAGGTTACTTACAGCCAGCAACCAGTCAATACCTTGAACTTTTTCTGTTTTGCAAGCCTATTGATTCCTTGATCAAATGATAACAGTGTGTGTATACAGTGGGGGAAAAAAGTATTTAGTCAACCACCAATTGTGCAAGTTCTCCCACTTTAAAAGATGAGAGAGGCCTGTAATTTTCATCATAGGTACACGTCAACTATGACAGACAAAATGAGAAAAAAAATCCAGAAAATCACATTGTAGGATTTTTTATGAATTTATTTGCAAATTATGGTGGAAAATAAGTATTTGGTCAATAACACAAGTTTCTCAGTACTTTGTTATATACCCTTTGTTGGCAATGACACAGGTCAAACGTTTTCTGTAAGTCTTCACAAGGTTTTCACACACTGTTGCTGGTATTTTGGCCCATTCCTCCATGAAGATCTCCTCTAGAGCAGTGATGTTTTGGGGCTGTCGCTGGGCAACACAGACTTTCAACTCCCTCCAAAGATTTTATATGGGGTTGAGATCTGGAGACTGGCTAGGCCACTCCAGGACCTTGAAATGCTTCTTACGAAGCCACTCCTTCATTGCCCGGGCGGTGTGTTTGGGATCATTGTCATGCTGAAAGACCCAGCCACGTTTAATCTTCAATGCCCTTGCTGATGGAAGGAGGTTTTCACTCAAAATCTCACGATACATGGCCCCATTCATTCTTTCCTTTACACGGATCAGTCGTCCTGGTCCCTTTGCAGAAAAACAGCCCCAAAGCATGATGTTTCCACCCCCATGCTTCACAGTAGGTATGGTGTTCTTTGGATGCAACTCAGCATTCTTTGTCCTCCAAACACGACGAGTTGAGTTTTTACCAAAAAGTTCTATTTTGGTTTCATCTGACCATATGACATTCTCCCAATCCTCTTCTGGATCATCCAAATGCACTCTAGCAAACTTCAGACGGGCCTGGACATGTACTGGCTTAAGCAGGGGGACACGTCTTGCACTGCAGGATTTGAGTCCCTGACGGCGTAGTGTGTTACTTTGGTCCCAGCTCTCTGCAGGTCATTCA